ATAAATATACTGCAAATGGATCCCTCTGTGTCAGGCCCTTCGTTACACATACATACATACATATATAAACATATTTTTACTTTTATTACTTTTAAGTACTTTAACAAAAGTTAAAGGCTGCATTAAACTGTAAAATAATGACCACAAAAATAAGAAAGGCAAAATAACAAAGTGGCAGATCCATAACCTACCTGGTCACTAAATTAAATAGGGTAAATATCCACACATGGGATGCAAGCGTTCGCTCACACAAAAGTATATCCAGACGAATCACAAAAATGAACGGGGAGGCCACACTACTTTCCTCCAACATTGAACAGCTTAAAAGCATAATCGAAACCTTTTGGGTGAGCCTCCAATTAATGTAACAACCATGGTCACAACATCAAATGAGGGAAAACACAAATGGATCGGTCTAGGGGTTTTATTAACAGATCACCCCAAAGTATACCAAGGGTTGGGAGAAAACACAAACTAAACTAAGTCTGAACACAGAATGGGGCACAACTCTGCGTCTGGATGGCCGCTCAAATCTCCTTCACTGAAGTTCTGCTGCATGAGCTCTTATAACGCCGGCGGTAAATGATCCACAGGTGCGAAGGAGTCTACTCACTCAAAAAAAAAGACGGCAACAAAATAGCATAAATAACTAAATTCATGACATGTAACACCTTGATTTATGCTAAATGTTTTTAGGTTACTGTCTTTTACCTAACAAATACCATAAAAACCTTAGGCTACTTTGGCTTAGTGAGGCATTACAGATGTCCTTATTATGGTCAATGTATAAAAAATTAGGTTGCTATTTTAACAATCTCAAGTTCAAGATACTTTTAATTTTCTAATACATATATATATATATATATATATAATATATATTATTGCTAATTTGTTTATACATTTGCATTATATACAATACATATACAAAACATACTGTTATTAATATTACACATGTGATGCAAGCCAATGGATCTTTGTTGCACTGGTGTCACAGCTCTGGAGCCCTAAAATACATCATCCTTTCAATCTCATCATCTCAAGCATTTGCAATATCCTCTTCTTCATCCTCTTTCCTCAACCAACACCGATGTTCTCCATTTCTACTTGAACTACCCAGTTCATCTCCCTTTATTTAACCCATAACTCTCCCTAACACCATCTTGACGCAATCTAATCTCTTTATGACTCTTATATCTCCCCAAAGAGCAATCTTTACCGCTGTCACCTATACCATCACCCATGGGCTTTCCACGCCATAAATAAATAATGTGCAGACATGTTGCCAACATTAGATACATCAGATATTCTAGACCAGTATGCTCCCATGTGTACTAGCTCTTTTTAACACATGCAGTGATTTACAGTCTAGGGTAACCTTTGGGCTTGTGGTTTGGACACTTTTTTTTCGTTTATCAGCGATTTTCTAGGAAGATTTTCATCTTTAATAAATAGCAGGATATGTAACATATATGTTTAGGCCACTCCATCAGAGGCTTTACTGGTATAAATTAATCTTCTGCAATGCTCTTTGCATGTATTAGATTTGGACTATTCATTCTGGAGGCCGTTAGCTTGTCAAGCACTCGTTGATGGCTGTTTTTCACAAATAATTATGCACTCTGTCATCATGTGCAATTGAAATGTCAAAAACACATTTTTTTACTCTATACAAGTAACATGACAGAAAAGCTGGCACAAATCTGTGTCTGGAGGAAGCTTTGCACAGTGTTGCACAGTGTACACGCTTGAAAGTATGTTTATGAATGTACAGTAATATAAATTGTACAACCCCAAATCAGAAAAGGTTGACACAGTATTGAAAACACAAAGACAGAAAGAAAGTAATGATTTGCAAATGTACTTTGACTTGTATTTCATTGCAGATAATATGAACACAAAATGTTTAATGCTTTTTCTGATTAACTTTATTTCATTAGGAAATATACAGTACATCCTTTCCTGTTATTCTGACCTGCAACGCATTCTAAAAAAAGTTGGAACAGGAGCCATTTTAAACCACTTTCTGCACACATTACAATGTCCTGACAGTGAAGGAAGAGGATACAGGTACTTGACTGACCAGCCTGCACTCCCGACCTGTCTTCAATAGAGAATATGTGGCGCAGTTTGAAGCTCAAAATGCGACAATGAAGACTGCCCTGCCTGCCTGCAAGAAAGACTTGTTTGCAGGAAGAATGGGACAAAATTAGACTTGAAACACTTCACCATTTGGTGTATTCAATGTGTTGTAATATGGAATGGCAACATTACAAAATGGTAAATGCTTTGCTGTTCCAACTTTTTAAAAATGTTTTGCAAGAACCAGAATTGGAAGACCTGTTTATTTAAAAAAGTAATTATAAAAGTAATGAGGAACACATTAAATAATGTGCTGTCACTTCTTTCTTTTTTAGTTACGTTTTCCATACTATCTCAACTTTTTCTGATTTGGGGTTGTACTCAAATTCATGGTTAAGAGTTAAAATGTGTCAAAATGTGACAATGAAAAGTGGCCTGCCTGCAGTCCCGACTTGTTTCCAATAGAGGGTTGGTGGCGCATTTTGAAGCTCAAAATGTGACAACAAAGACTGGCCTTCCTGCAGTTCTGACATGTCTCCAATAGAGAACCTGTGGCACATTTTGAAGCTTAAAATGCGATAATGAAGACACTGTACTGTTGCCCTCCTTAAGAAAGTCTTTTTTGCTGAAAGAATGGGACAAAATTAGACCTGAAACACCATTTGTTGTCTTTAGTGTGTTGTAAAATGGAATGGTAACATTGCAAAATGGTAAATGCTTTACTGTTCCAACTTTTTAAAAATGTTTTGCAAGAACCAAAATTGGAAGACATGTTTATTTAAAAAATAATAATAAAAGTCGTGAGGAACACATGTGCTGTTGTATTGTCTGCAATGATATACAAGTCAAAAGAAATTTATTCTTTCTTCTTTTTCATTTGCGTGTCAATTTTTCTGATTTGAGGTTGTACTAAAGTTGTTTGTTAAGTGTCTATTATAAAAGTCAAATAGTATAAAAGCCACAACTATTGTGTACGTATATGAAGTATTAAAGCAATTATGATAAAACTGACACTGGGGGATACTGTACATTGAGGCAACCTTGTGCAATTCAAATGCAATATTATTATCAAGTCTCTCTCAGTGTAAATATTTTTATTTGACCTAACTGTTGGCAATTGAATGACCTGGCTTACTGGTGTATGTGGGCAAGAGAAAGGTCTAGTAAACTGGAGCTGGTTGCTGTGTGAATGTCTGTCTGTTTGTGTGTTTGTGAAGGGGCTTTTCTTATGTGTGATTGTGTTTACTCTGGTGGTACTTCTCCCTCATTCTCCACCATACCTTTAGTGACCTTTCATTTATTTCCATCTCCCCTGTCAGTTTGTCTGGTTCTCTCACAAACATCACTTCTACTGCCACATGTGGTGCCTGCACTGCCTTAAAACTGCAAGCTTACAGACAAACAAGCCGGGGCAGGGAAGAGTGAGATGAAGAAATTTTACACAATCAGTCCTACAGGGAGCAAAAGTAGAGTGTAAAGTAGAGGTTCAGCCTGCTGCAAACTGACTGATGTATGAAATGCATCGGGTTCAGCACCATGGACAGCAACCATTTCTCCAGTCTCCATTTCTGAAAGACAAATATGACACCTAACAGGGGCCATGTAATCACTGACTTTTTATTTTGGATAATAATAATAATAATAATAATAATAATAATATGGTCATTATTATGAATAATATTATGGTCCTAATTATTATTAATGAATATGACCATACTATTATTAATAATTATGGCCATAATAATAATAATAATAATAATAATAATAATAATAATAATAATAATAATATGGTCATTATCATTAATGATATTATGGTCATAATTATTATTATTATCATCATCATTATTAATGTATTAACTGACAACTGTTATCATGGTGAATTAAAACATTTAAAAACATTGAAGACAATTTAATTAGTTTAAATAAAACCATGAAAAAATAACAGTCTCCAAACTAAAAGTATGATGTGTTAGGGTTTTTTCATGATTTCCTTTCTTTTTTTGTACTTATTCATGTGGTTTTAATTTATTGATTTTACTTTTTATAATTTTAATTTAATTGTATGTATTTCTTTGTTATTCTATTTTTTTATTGATCGAATTATAACATTATATTTAGTTTAAGCATGTGCCACAGTTTTGTTGTCTTGCACTTTAAATGTTCAAGCTCTTAAAGCAGCATGGATTATATTATACACACACACACACACACACACACACACTTTAACAGCACTGACATACACCAAGCATCACAGTTTTATTCAAATCTGTATTCTGATGGATTTCCAGAGGGATGTGGTCATATATGTTTATTTTTTCTTGACTGTTCACAGTATTTTCTAATTGATGTTATAAAACAAGATTCCAATAATCCCCTCTGTAAAAACCTTTGGCTTTAATGTGTCAAAAAATTTTTTTAATTAAGCCGGCTTACTTTTTTTTCAAATGTCTGTGCTAGAAATATATGCAAATAAGCACATATTTAATACAATAATATCTCATTTACATATTCAAAATTTTAGAAAACATATAAAAAACATTTCCAATTTTTAATTTAATCCATAGCAGCACGATGGCGCAGAGGGTAGTACAATCACCTAACAGCAAGATGGTCACTGGTTCGAGCCTCGCCTGGGTCAGTTGGCATTTTGAATAAGCCAAATTGTGCGTAGTGAATGTGTGTGAATGAGTGTGTATGGATTTTTCCCAGTGCTAGGTTGCAGCTGAAAGGGCATTCGCTGCTTAAAAACATATGCTGGATAAGTTGGCGGTTCATTCCGCTGTGGCGTGCCAAGATTAATAAAGGGAGTAAGCCGAAAAGAAAATGAAGGATTGAATGAATTTAATCCATCAGCTTGGAAGGCATGCTTCTATTTCTTTTTTACCTTGCCTTAATGTAACATTGCCTTCTCTTTCTCGTAGGCTGGTTGCATGAGCTGGGCAAACGTTTGGGCACTCCATACTTCCTGTCACCTCTCGCATCCCTCATTCCTGACTCTCTGCGCCCCACCATCCTGGACGGCCTGGTGGTTAATTCCAGCCAGTGGAACGGCTCTGATCTGGTGGCTCATGAGCCGGTGTGGAACTCCAGCCAGCTGAACTCCACAGGCACAGCGCCAGCGGCCCCTTCAAATGCTGGACAGACTGGAGCCGTACTGGGAGGAGGACCCTCCATCCGCAGCTCATATGTGACATCGCTGTACTTCGCTTTAAGCAGTCTGACCAGCGTGGGCTTTGGCAACGTCTCAGCCAATACCGACTCAGAGAAGATCTTCTCTATCTGCACCATGCTGATCGGAGGTGAGTGCTACAAAACACTCTTTCAAGGTTTCGGGGGACTGGGAGGTTTGGAGATATATTAAGATATTTTTAAAATACTTTTATATAGTAGTGTTTAAAAGTTTGTGGTCTACAGGATTTTCTTATGCTTCTGAAGTCTCTCGTGCTCATTGAGGTTACATTTATTTGATCAATTGTCCTAAATAAAAACAGTAAAATTGTAAAATATTAAATAATTTTAAAATCTAATTTATTTTTGTAATGGTAAAGCTAAATTTTCAGTGTTATTCCAGTTCTCAGTGGCACATGATCCTTCAGTTATCATTCTTGTAGGCTGGATCATTTTGATTGATACTTTGGTGCTAGTTAAACAAATCTTATCACATTTAAAAATGTTTATGTGGCTTCATTTGGGGGTATTTTTTTTATTAGTTTGTTTCTTTCTTTACTTATTTAATCTTTGTACAACCATGTGCTTCAGTAGAAGTAGGAGTACTATTTGTCAAGGAAGGAGGGTGGGGAAAGCAGCGAAAACTCAAGTGCATGAAAATAATGGGTTTTTATTCATTATTAAAACAAAACAAAAGGCAACAAAAACAACCCCGAGGGGAGAAACATTAACAAAACAAATAAACAAACAAACAAACTTGACTGGAAAGGCTGGCAGGGATCAGGGCAGGACAGAACAAACCAGGACAAGACTCGACTCAACTCTACTCGACTGGATGATGACAACAAAATGTATTTTCACCTTAGTATTTGTTACCGTATTTTCACTTTGAAATCTTTAAAACAATCGTATATTTACATCGATGAAATGTAAACCATTTAGAGGGGAAATAATTCAATGTTCATTACCAAGTTGTTTATTTTATTCAATCCTAATTTGACATTGTTACAAACCATGCATCTATTATAAACAAAAGATTCAACACAAATTTAAGCCAAGAACAGAATCTAATTCATAAACAGTAATTGCATTTATAATAATCAAAGTATTGTGCTATTTCCTGATTTTGTTTTGTAAACCTCTTACAATATGTTTGCATTTAAAAAAACACTTTCATTTTCTCCTATACATTTCACATCACCTCAATTCTCATACCTTCAAACAGCCATAAAATAGCACTTTAATGTCAAAATTATGGTCTAAGATCTTTGAGAAACCATACAAATTACTGACAGCAATGTCTAAACAGAACAGTAAGTTGAAGGTTGAAGATGCCTTCTGTCTGCTATGTGAATGTCATGTATATCAGACAAGTGGATACTTGAAGCCCTCTGGTAGGATCCCGCTCTCGTCTTTCCAATCGTCGTGCTAAAGACATGGCTTAATAACTCCTCTTAGCTTTAGGGAATCCAACTGTTCCCTCTGTTATCTTTCCACCCCCACCAGACATGAATATTCAGAGCAATGCTTCAGTCTCAAGCAGAGATGATGACACTTAAAACTGCTCAAGCTAGAGATCGTGATGCTCTCGCCGTCTCACAGCTCATACTGAAATGTTAGTTTATTTGTAATGTTTTGCATTTAGGATGACAATTAAGCTAATTCTGTTTTATACATTGCAAACTAGGCACTTATCCTTTTTAGTTAAAGGTGTAGTATATTGAATTTACACCTAGTGGCTGAGGTTGGTATTACAGTCCAATCTCAAAATATTGAAGATAGTTTATTTTTCACTGACCCCTCTGATGGCAACTTGACGCACACAGAAGTTTCGGGATTGATGACACAATTGATGGAGATCGAAAATTATGTAGTCAGAGCTACATATGGCTAATTTCATCATTTAAACGAACGCTATGGGATGGTATGACACTGTTCCTTATCGCGCTTACCAGCTGACCGCTTACCTCCATGGGGATGGCTTTCCCGCTGTTACCAGTTTGTCCAGTAGCTCGAAATGTATGCAGGCGGACTGAAGATGCAGAGCAATGGGGTTCAAGTCCGGTGAAGAATGGTTCCAGAAAGCAAGAAAGAAAGTTTTCTTTTTCTGGATTGCATTATTTTATTTAAAACACTGCAGATGGGTTTACGGAAGGTGGTGGGCGGGTCAATCAGTGCTTTTTAAAATACTATTGGTTGGATTTAGGGAAGGGGGAGAGTGGGTGTATCAGTCTGTTGGTCAGACAATCAATTAGGCAGTCAACAGCGGCCTCTGGTGGACTTATGCGAGGAGAGCAGGCATGAATAACACTCGAAATTTGCGATCTACACAATCGTACACAGCGACCTCTGGTGGATTCATGAAAACTGCAAAAACAATTTTGCTTCTAGGATGTATTTTGTACTCTCCAGAAATGTATATAGAGGTATGGAATCAGAATAATCCCGGGGTGGTAATACTTTTGTTGTTTGCTAATTAAAAAGCACCTCGTGTGGATTTCCCTATGAATCTGCATCTCATTTCTGAGGCATGTCCACATGGATAAAAGTCTAAAATGGCACATTTAAATTAAACACTAATAAATAAACTTGCAGAAAAAATAAATAAATAGAAAAACTTTTTTTTTGTCAATTTTAAATTTACAGATACAATTCATTGCCAAAAATGACAATGTCTTGACAATTTACTCTCACTCAAGTGGTTCTAATTTTTATGAACTTTTTACTTATATTCTGATATTCTGAAGAGTGTTGGGAAAAAGCAGCCATTGATGATCATAAAGACAAAAATACTATTAAAGTCAATGCCTTTTTTTAATTAAAACATTTCAATATAATACATAAAATGTTAAAAACTGTAAGAAAATCTGTTCTTTTTAAATATTTTTAGATTGTGAATATACATTTTTTTATGTTTGTGATCATTATTAAAGTGGTTTTAAAGCTGTTTTTCTCCACAGCACTGACATGGCAGTATATGTTATTTTATTAAAGGACCTATAGGCTATATGCACAGCTAGTGTTTCTTCCCATACCAATGAACTTCTGGTGAAAGCTTAATGTGACTTTTTTCAATTTTATACAATTCCTCTTACAGCATTGATGTTGTAATGTAATTTTAATACAATCAGTCAAATAAACTCATTTAGTTGTTCAAAAGTAAAACGAGATAGACCGCTTGCGTCGTCAGAATCACCAGGCAAACGCAGAAACTCCATTGAAAATACTGGGGTAAAATACATTTTCATATTTTAAAGACATGATGTGGAAAAGGGTCATTTAATGCAGTGCTTCTTGCTCATTCTGAGACCCACTTTATAGTGTATATCAGTCAGGCAGTAAAGATCATTGATTTTTTAAAGAAAACAGACCTTAAACATGCCAATTTTGTAAGGACATTCAGTTCACCGGAAGCGCTTGACCCAGGTTACTGAAAATTAAAAGTCCTTCTGCATACTTCTGCATATACCCTCTTATGCCTATTTTTACAAGATATAAAACAAGTCTCTGATGGTCCTATAGTGTGTATGTAAATTTTCAGCTCAAAACAAATAATTTTTTAGAACTATTTAAAACTGGCACTTTAAATTTAAATGAGATTTTGATCACGGCACTCTTTTTCATTAAGGGCAGAGCTACAAACCGTTATGTGTCCTCATACTGGCAGATTCAAAACAGGGCTAATGTTATCTTTGTGAAAAACAAAAAAATGTGGCGACTACGGTATTCCTTTATGCATCCTATACTCTGAAATATCCAATGGCAGATGGCTGCTTCTCACTCAGGGCTGTTTATGCTAATAAGGGAGACATTGTTATTTTCCCTCTCTGATGACACATCATTAAAAAGTGCTTCTGCCGACTGTGTTAAGGAAGTGTGATTATAGAAAATAGAATTAATTCATTTTTACCATTAGGGGATGGATATATTCACACACTGTTGATACGTTTCAAGTATGATTCAGCTTCATTTTTTTGTTTTATAAGATTTTTCTTGTTATATAAGATTTTTCCAGAATAATTGTATTTTGTTTCAAATATTTTGTCATGCAGCTAATGCAATTCTCTTATGACTGCTGTTGATTATTAAACTTTCAAACAAGTTTGAATGAGGCATGCATGAGCAACTCTAAAATTACTAATGGGACTCCCTAGACTTCACGTGTGTGTGCAAATGAAGGCCACAAAACTGTTCTTCATAAAATAAAGCACAGAGAAGCTTTCACTTCATTAGTCTTTATAGTAAACCATCAGCTACTATTAGGTTTATGTGTCTATTTGACCTCATTAAGCTGTATTTCCCTCGAGTCTCCAGTCTT